GCTTTGAAGAATTAAGTCGTTTAAAGCGTGGATGTTGTTGCTTTTAATTTTGTTTATTATTTGACAGCAACTTTAAAGGAAATCTAAGTGAGTAATATTTTCTTTTGATTGATTTAAAACAGTGGTATAAGTGATCTACTACAAGATGAATTTATTCATGCCATATTCTTTCGGACAAATAATAGCTTAAAATGGCTTAGAAGCGTTGCAAATATTCTTCTAATATCCTTCCACGACAGTCCTCATTTGATTATAATTCTTTTAGCAGTAATGCTGAAGATGAAAACTTTGCATTTCCAAATACCAGATTATTCTATACACATTAAAGTCTAAATCAATCATCTCAACTTCTAGGAGTTCCACAGGTACACTTGACTAAGTGGTCACAAGTGGTCACTAATTCGAAATTACGGCTACGTAATAGTTGAAAATGTTTTAAGGATTCTACTTTATCATGACCAAAAGTATTTGAGTGGAACAAGGCAATCAGTGAAGGTCGTGAAGTCTTTGAACACTTGCCTCGAAACGTCCATTCATCTCTATTAATGACGATTACACAGAAAAGTTAATGAAACAGTGCTTGAAACCCGTCGTAGAGGATCTCCACATCTCTTCTGGATGGTATAAAGCGTGTCAATGCTAAGGTCCCTACATTCAACCTACGCATCATAACTGATGACGAGATGCCGGTCTATGAATAAAACGACCAACAATCTAGCGAATGGCGCTATAAAAATTAGTTCAAACCGAAAAAACAACGTCAAAGTCGGTCAAAAATGACGGTGATGCTTATCATTTTCTTTGATTACCATTTTGTGGTTTACCATTAATTTATTTCACAGGGTCAAATGGTCAATTAGGAATACTATTTGGTTTTTTGAGACACTACGTCCACTTTTTCGATCAAAAATTGATGGATAAATTTACCGGAAGCTCTATTATAGTCAAATTTATTCCGAGGATGCAAGGCACCCCGCAGGGTGGGGTACTTTCCCCACTGCTTTGGATTTTGCTGGTTATCGACCTACTAAAAGAACTCGAGGAACGATGCTGTCGGATGAGACGCTGACGATGCTTTTCTAATGGTTAAAGGAAAATTTCTAAATACGGTCCAAGAGCTAACCGAAGATGGGGACTCTCACATTGGTGATGTTTTGGCTCTACGAAATCGTAGTCAAGCCAATAATGTTCAATGGTGCATTCATCTGGTGGAGGGCGCTCGAAACAGCTACATTTGGTAAGACAAAGAGCGGCTATCATCGGCATCTCTGATGCGCTGAGGATTACACCAATAATAGCACTTAATGTCATTTTAAACATAGCACCAGTGGATATTGGCGGAAAGTGCATAGTTGCGAAGTGCGTTCTAAGGCTCAGAGAAGCTGGGTATATGAAAGGGTTCGAACAAGGTCACGCCGAAATTCTTTCCTCACTCAACTGCATTCCTGAAAACTTGGATCACTACGTCGCAGAGGCCGCTCATGATTGCTTTTTCGCTGCCACATACGTAAGCTATTTCAAGGATGGTTCGAAGCTTGGTGGAAAGGTTGGAGTGGGAGTTTTCTGGAAGAAGCTTTTTGTCAATTTTAGTTCTAGGCTGCGGGACCACTGTAGAGTTTTACCGGCAGAAGGTAGACGTACTGTAGACAGCAGAGCGGTAATACTAGCGTATGCTCAAAGCTAGTCAAGAAGTGTCTGTTTTCTCTAGAAATAGCATAAATCTGATTCATCATCAGACTGCAAAGTCGATGGGCTAGCCAAAGGAAGCACCGCTTTTATCGGAATCGGAGGCACCGTTCAAAGATGTATGGAGGAGGGTAGGGTAGAAAATTCAGATGCTTTCTCCTCCATTGTCCAGCCTTTGCAAGATTGGGGCTGAAACATGTCGGTAATCTTATTCGCGGCGTACAAGAAGAGATAGCCGAAACTGACATTAGCCGTCTCAACAAATTTATGATAAGCTCAAAGCGCTTTGTCGATTTGTAAAAGTCCATAGAGAGAGTGGAATTTCTGTTTGCTACGAAAAGTGTGAAATAGTATAGAAAACTAATTAGCTCATATAACTGAAAAAAATAATACGAATCGAGTTAATGGCAGAAAATATCAATTGAATGCCAGAAATTAACAAACCTCGGAAAACTTAATTTCAACTACCGTTAGCAAGGCATAAGAGTAGTAAAAGCGTAAGGATACCTTGTGCGACGAGCTCAGCGAGGTAAATGAACCGTACGCTTTACGACTTTACGATGTCTTAATGTAATTTTATGTTCGATTTAGTAGAAACTGAGACGAAAATACGCGCACAAGCACAAAAACTAGGCACAGTAAGCGAAGGGAATTGAGCCGATTAGCAAGCAAATTGAACAATAAGACCGTCTCAGCACACGTCACAGCCTAATAAAATAAATTACCGAAAACAAGTTGTTTTCCAATTTTACAATTTAACAAATTGCACAAATAAGGTAAAAAAAAACAAAAAAGAGCAATCGCTAAAAAGGCACCAAAGTCTGATAAATATGTTACAACAACAGAATATCTTGTAAAAACAGCAAAGAGATTTAAAAAAGAGGATAATATGCCTACAGACTGACAGTGGCGAGAATCCTTTCATTCGCTCACACTTCGCTGACAAAAGAGTTGAAGTAGTGAGGCCGGAAAAAAGTAAGAAATTACATGGCTGGAATAGAAAAGGAAAAAAGAATGAATTTGGTAAGAAGCAAATTTTTCGAATTGTGCGCTTGAGACTAATAAAATCAACGACGTGGAACTTCAAAATGATGCTCGGCTCACTTACTGCTGGAATCGTCGTGACTACCGTTAGACAGTCAGCTTTGTCGCAATAGTTGCAGCGCCAACCAGCAGCTAGCTATAGCTAGCGAGTAGTCGAGCGCAACCTGTGGGCCTGGGCGGCCTGAATGTACTTTAGTGTCTGTGGCAAGTGAAAGTTGAAAGCCGCACATGCCGCCGCTGCCACCGCTGCTGCTCCGCAGTTATTCACCCGCTGGAGCGTGGGATATATTTGAAAAGAAAAACTCCGGAATGTTTATGAGTCTGTGACCCGCATGGGTGAAAGGGTTTATGCCTCGCTTAAGCTTGCCAGTTCACCAATGTCGCATGCCACCCTTCGACGTTGCAGCGCTAAGCAGAATTGGACCATGCTGAGCACTTTCTTCCAGCGAAAATCTTATACGGGTGCGCTGGGGAGTGAAAAGCGATTGTGATTGTCGATTTTATGAGGGTTTGAGATTATGTATTAATCGCTTTAGTATTGTTGTTGCAGCAATAAAATACAATAAAAAGGGAAAAAATAACAATGCTAGAAAAAAAGTGAGCAGCAGAGTGACGCATTCGCTTGCTTTGCAAAACGGCTCTTTGAAGGGGTTACGAAGATTTAATTCGCAATTGACAATGTAAATGTTGTTGTGACAATGAGCATTGCTATTGTTATATTATTTATGCATTTTTTCGCTTTACTCGTGCGCTAATGCTTACGTTAAGCATGCTAAAATGTTGTATGATTTCATAAAAAGTTGCTTTAAATTGCTGAAGATACAGCTGAAATGACCGTTATATTGCCTTATTTCACTTTTCTGTCTAATATGCCCTTTTTACAGCTTTTATAGCATACTTTAAGGCTTAAAGTGAGTTTGCAATGCCTGTTGTGATAGCTCATTAAGGGCGCTATAAAGAGTTTAAAGCTCAGCGAAGAAAGAAAAGAGAGAAAAACTAGAAATATACATAAAAAGAGAAAATTGGAAGGGGGAGTAGACGGTTTTGGTTGACAAAGTGGGATGAAGTGAAGATTGAGAACACGCAATATCAATTTTAATTGATTGCGAACGCTAAACCTGCTGGTGAGTTTTTTAGAACTTATATCATAATGTATATATGAATATACACTGAGGAAAATGGTAGTTTATGAACATATGAAACAAAAGTCGAATTAGTCTGTCTATACAATTCTCAAAATTATATTGCCTTGGAAAATACCACTTTGCAAATTACCTGATATCGCGTCTGCTGCAAAATTTTTCCATACATGGACTGGATTTTGGTCGTTCAATTTGTGTTTCAGCTACATGTTCAACAAATGAGTAGTTTCTTAGTCAGAAAGGAAAGATTAGATCTTTAAGTTGAATTTGATCGGTCAGCTATATTATATATATAAAAAGAGTTCATTATTAGTTCCCTGATTTGAGGACCGTCAAAAATACCAGCTTTAATTTTTTCTGTGCTTAATTTCGGAATTATTTTACTGATATATTTAAAACATTCCCCATCCTTAGAAGAGAAGGTAATATAATGCGGCCTCTGGCTACTAGAGGGGCATTCATCACACTCATGCTACCCGGTACTAAATTCACTCTCAAAGGCCAAACTTTTTTAGTTCAGTTCTTGGCTCAGCTATCCTAAAAACACATGAAAAAGGGATATTTGGTATATCCTCCTTGTTGAACGAAAAAAAAAAAAATATGTATCATTTTAAGACCGACGCATATCAGCTAGTTATGTTCTATGTATTTTATTTTCTCCATAACCAAGGCCAGCGTGGGACATTCCTCTTAAATGGGCAAACAGCCCATTTTGTTACCATTATGTAAGAGTTGGCATTTAAGACTACGTTTCGACGATTCAATAACTAAATCTCTTCGATCATAGTTTGTTAATCCCATTTCAGCGAACAAACCGGAAATATTGTTGCAACATAAAAAAATTTCAAGTATCACAATAACTAGAACTGCTAGAAAGAAACTGATGGTAGATTTGAAATCAGCGACATTAGTAAGAAACCGTTTAGAAACTGTTCAACATAAAACAAAACAAAAACATTTATTTTGCTTACCAGTGTTCAGTAGGGTATTTCCTTAAACAACAATAAAGATCAATATATTAAAAAAAATTAGACAAATAAATAGATGAATGCATTTCAAGATCCATAATAGGACAGTCCCTCACGTATTCTATCTTATTAAAAATTCCAATCTGTTAATTAAGCTTACCAGTTTTCCACGGTGTCCCGTTTCCTAGCCGCAAACTTACTGGATATCACGCTGTCTTAATCATCTTGTCGCCATTAATAAATCAGAGTCATTAAAAATGCAAAAATCCAGCTGAGAAATAAACAAACAAAAAATACAAAGAAAATTAAAAACATAAAAAATTAACAGCAAATGAAGGAAAGCGCAACTGTAAAGAGGCGCAAACCAAAGCATAAATATAAAAACGGCAGCGATTCGTGAAAAAATAACACGGAACGCGAGAAAAAGCGCGACCAAGTGCGAACTGAAACGCAATCGGACACAGCGGTGCCCACCAAAGGTGTTGGCGGTGAAAGTAGAGAGCAGAAAAAATCGAAATTATAAGCATGGCACACAAAAGGACACTTTACAGCCGAATGAATCTAATTAAAATGTAATTATAATTGTAGCCGTTCAACGCGGAAGTAACCCAGGGTAACGCGGCGGACACCACTGTGCGTCTGGTGGCGCCGTCACCGTCGATAGATAATCAGCACCGGCGGAAGCGTTTGTTGCCTTGAAAGAATTTTCTCTTTTAATTTTTGGTCACACAAATCTTTTTTCATTTTTTTTCAAGGTGGATGCGGGAAAAAAGTGATTAAGTATTTATAGCAGCAGCGCTGCATAAATCCAAACTGCGTGTGGGAAAACTTTAAGAGCATTGATGTAAGAAAGTGTGGGAAGGATTAGAGCACTAAACTTAAAAGAGTTTGATTATTCCTCACATTGTTTTTGTGAAGAGTGCATTTTGAATAACTGGTTTAGTCTCTTAATAAATTTAAATTTTTTTAAATAATTTTATTTATATCTTTGGGGCAGGACTTTGCTAAAACACGTAATTTAAAAATTTGTGAAATTTGATAAATTATTCTTTACAAATTCAAAGCAAAACACGTACTTACATAAAGTGTATTCGAACCATATTGTGCAAGCAATTGTTCTAACATTAGGGTGATTCGATTTGTTTGAATATAAATATTAGGTCATGAAGTTCCTCTAACAATTCTAAAGAATACTTAAACCCTTTAGCTGTGTCTTAAACAGATCTGAGTCAATACAAAATTAAGGTCTGTCCGAGAGATATGCCTATGTATAGCATGAAATATATGTCCTGAACAGGGTCGATTACCGTGACGAGCTAAGCCCATTCGGCCTTATTCGTCTGCCTATCCGTCTGTCAGTTTGTCTCTTTGTACATAGGGGAATTAGTTGCACAGGTTTCGAGATATCGAGCAGGAATTTTGCACGCGTCCTTATTGTCAAAGACAGTAATGAAATCTCAGAAGGCAGTTTTTGGATTGGACTACTAAAATATATAGCTGTCATACAAACTGAACAAGATAAAGATCTTTCTACACACTTTTATGCAATAAGGATTGCACCGGTGAAGGATATTACATCTTCGTTTTTTTCTTGTTTTTAAATAACATTGCTGAAAAAGGAATTAAAACTATCGGAAGCAGATCGTGAGCATATCTGCTGATATTGGTTGAATGCATTCTGCTAAAAATATTTGTGATTCATAAAATACTCTCCTACATCTTATCCTACAAAGATTAAATGGGAAGACTCCAATTTTTGTAGGGATTAAGTAGTAGTCTGTGCTAAAGGCCGCGGGTCGAGTCAAGAACTCACCATACAATTAAGATTTTAATATAAAGGAAAAGCTCTTTAAAAATCGTACTTCAAATATATACCCTTCAGAGTTCTTGTCTCATGAAACACTAAGAGATTCAATATTTTGCAATTCAATGAATAGGAAGAGAAGAAAAAAAAGAAAATTAGCACTGATGGACACGGAAGTCACCGAGCAAATTAAGACGGCGTAGTTGAGCTATGGTTTCGATAAGTTTTCATTTAATTGAGATCCCTCTCTTTACGTCTTCTTTAAATTAATCAATTTGCTTTACCATATTTTCCTAGAACTTAATTTAGACAATATTTAGAGGGCAGAAGCGTTAGATTGAAATTCTCTAGTGAGCCGTAAACGAGAGAGACCAGCTAATACATGGAGGCGAGAAGTTGAAGCAGAGTTGCAAGATACAGGCCGTTTCTGAAGACAAAGCAAGCTGCTAGTATTAAATAAATTGAATTATAATTTGTTTATTGAGCCCCTGTGTTCCACGTAGGAACTCTGGGAGAATATAGATATGTATATAGAAGTATCGTTCTGGATCTCGTTATTATAAAATTTTAAGTTTTTGCAGTCGATGCTAGAAATACTAGGTTATAACCGCTATTATGTCAATAAACTCTGTCGACTAAGATATTCATTGAGCTATTTGTTCGTACCTATACCAACCAACTTCAATACTCCCGACTTAGAAGGTAAGTTTTTAAGTGATCGCAAGCCCGTAAAAAGTGTGTGCTGCGGTATCGAATGAACGGGTTAAACATAAGGCTTACATTTTATACCAAAGTTCCTGAGCTATTACTATCATTGAAAATACTCGTCGAGTCATCCACTATTTTTATTGATCAGTCTTTTACGAGCCCTAATGTAACATATTTCTAAGGACACACAAAAGACTCTCCATCTACTGTGAGTTGTCACAACCCTTCCACTAAATATTGACCTTTTAAGCCAAGACTAAATGCCCATGTCTTGGTCATGTAATCGCATTTCGAATTACCGACGCATGCCGAACGCACTGGCATGTGCCGCATGAATACGAATACATACATAATAACTCTGTGCTCTCTTACCAACTCGAACTCGCATATGAAATGCTAGTAAAATCGCAACGAATGGCATAACGTGCAATGGCAGTCATAAAGACAGATTGTGGGTCGAAAAGTTGCTTAAGAAAATTGAAAATTCCTCAGCTGGTACTTTCTTGCAGACGGATGGAAGGCAGAGGAATAGACCAGAGCAAACTGCGAGCACATGTGTGAGAGTGAGGCGGCAGGCGGCCTGGACTTGGAGTTCGCTAGTGAGTTGCCATGAGGTATTAATCTTACATTTAACTGTAAATTGCTTGCTGCTGTTGTTGTAATGAATATTATTTCTTACTTTGCTGTTTTATTAGCAGGTTACTTTTATTGTTGTTGTTGCAAGTTTATTTGTTGCGCTTGTGTTTTAGTGTGGAAATTGTAGTTTGACACTTACAGCGCATTAAATTGTTTGCTTCTAAGGCTCGATCTGACACATATGCACACATACACATACAAATGGAACTGAAGGTATTCGTGTTATACTCGCATTTGTGTCTATATATACGTATATATATATATATGTATGTGTGTGTGTGTGTTGGCGCATGTGAGCATGTGTCCTGCAGTTCCCAAGTTGTAAAATGCTCTCAAGCATACAAATTGCATACAAATGTTTTAAACAACAACAACAACAACAAGAAAAATCCTTAACTTTGGCTGCATCGAAGTTATAATACCCCTCACAGGTGCATTTTCTATAGCATAAAAGGTTATAAAAAGATTTTTATCTTGTTTTGGATCGTTCAATGAGCTGTTCAATCGTATGACAGCTAAATGCTATAATGGTTTGATTTAAACAATTTCTTCGGAGATTGTAGCTTTGCTTTAGGCAATAATCCATACCGAATTTCGTGAAGATAATTTCTTAAATAAAGAAGTTTTCCATACAAGAAAGTGATTTTGATCGATCAGCTGTATGGCAGGTATATTTATATACTTTAGCGGTCAGATATCGGCGATTCCGACAAATGAGCAACTTCTTAGGAAGAAAATGACGGACAAAATTTGAGATCGATAACTCAAAAACTGGAGAATCAGTTCATGTATATACAGACAGACAGACTGGTATGGCTAAATGGACTCAGCTCGTCACGCTGGTCAATAATATATACATATATGTATATTATATTCTTTATAAGATCTCCGACTTTTCTTTCTGGGTGTTACAAACTTCGTGGCAAACTTAACTGCACGGGGTATATATACGCCAGCCCGAAAGCTCAGAAAGGACATTTGGACTGCACATTCTTCACTGTTTCGCCGTAATTCGTTTTGTTTATTTGTTTGCGTGTGCATTCAAGGATGCTAAGAACTTTAACTTACAAATACACACATATGTTGTCTCTATTTTCTCCATGTTGCTTAAGAAAGCCAAAAACTATCGAACGCACACATACACAGGCACAGACAAATGTATACCGCTGCTGCTCACCCATTTCGTGGATGAGTAATTTCATATCCCTTTTTACTCTTTTTCTCTAACGGTAAATGTGACATTTGTATGTGTGTGTGTGTGTTAAAAATATGTGTTGCGGCAATTTCGGTTGGCCATAAGAAAGTCATTTGCACTTAGTAATTCGTAGAGTCCTTGCATCTATATCCACAGCAGCCTTCAGTGGCTAGCAACCCCCGCTTCCGGATCTTTTATTTATATTTAGTTTTGGTCAGCGTTGGGTCACTGCATCTGTCATTGGCACTCGTCTTCTTCGAAATGGAATGCCCACTCACATACATGCATAGATATACAAGTTCGTGTAAATTACTGAATTTTGGTATGCATCAGTCATGCGTGACTTCCTCGTAACTTCACGGACATCACAGACTGTCCGAAACATCCGAAACACTTTGTTGCCTGTTTTGTGGGCATTTCAAAAGCAGTTATTGAAATTAATATGCCTAAGTAATTGCAGGCAATAAATTTGCATATCAAAAGACGAAATGAAAATGCTTACCGACTTCTATTTAAAGCTATAATTTAGTCATGAAGCACTTTGTAAGCGTTGTATATGCTTTCTTGTAATTACAAAACTTTAAATTCTGTTTCATGGTTAGTAGATTAGCGAAAAAGTAAGTTAATTTTGGCCGAAAATTCATTATAGTAGCGAAGTTTAAAGAGCTATACCTTCTGGTGAATTTTAAAAACTCGATTTTTGTCGCATATATATTATATATGGATATCGAATGTGTATACATATATTTTATATATATAGTTGATCTGACAAACAGTTTCGAAGTTATGAGCACATTTGATAGAATTTTTTAGTTTAGCGTATTTGGCTTTGAAATCTTCAAACGAGTTTTTTCCCGAAGCGTCGTTTTAAGAGTCGGTGAATTTATTCGAAACTGCTAGACCGATCGACTTGAAGTTTTAACACGAC